AAAAAAAAAACTGGTGGTCTTTCATTTTTACTATATAAAATAATTATTCCCATTAGTTTTTTTTTCCCCCTTTAAAGGATCTGATCTTTTCCGGATAACTTTTAGAGCATCCACCATGTTTATAATATTGTGAGTATAATGTCTTCATTTTTCAATATTACACTTCTATTAACCATCAGCTTTTTAATTATATTGTTAATAACGAACAACGATTCTACTTCGTGGACCATTTTCACAAATGTAACACATTTAATCATGGGTATAATTAAATCAGCAATGATACACTCAGTGACTAAGTACAGTGAAAATATATAGTGACAAATGAAAAGACAAATACACCATCCACGTACTAAACATGTCTATTTATTAATCAAGGATAAAAATATAATTTTGGAGGAAAAATAAAACTTCAACGGGAAAGTAGCAAAAAACTAGGGGCTATGATTAGTCCAAATCAGTCACTATATTTTGTCACTATTTTTATTCACTATATTTTGCTAGTGAAACTAATATTTTTGAAATAAAGGGATGACATAGTAAACAAAAAGGAGAAAAAGATAAAGAAAAAAGAAGGAAGAAGAAGAAAACACTGTGGTCAGACAATGAGACAACTATTTCATATCTACAACTTATTTCATTACCGGTTTTGTCAATTCAAGCAGAGGAGATGAAGCCTTGATGCATTTGACACTCCTTTCAGAAAACAATCGAACCTGCTGCGGCATTTGACTTTCTTTCCCCTACAGTGCACCTCTTCACAAAAGAGTGATCATCAATAATTTGAATGTGTTTTCCTTAGTAATTTAAGTAGTTGTTTCCTGTTTAACAACTAATACTTGGAGCCAAAAGTCAACTCAATTGCATGTGCCCCTTATGTATATGCATATGTCCCCCTGGCCTGTCACAATTTCAACTGTCTTTAATCTAATTTTTATTATTCATCATTAGAGACTGTTTCAAGATGAGAAAAATTCAATATTAATGATATATTGAATGGGTTTTGGGAGTTGTAATTGGAAACGGTGTGGATTCTATGGAAATGTTTCCAGAATTACGCAACTCGCATCCCAAAGCTTCAACTTCAAAATGGAAACTCAAATGTTAAATCCGTGTCTAAAGGTTATAGCCAACAAAGCATTGCATGTAACACATTTAAAAAACACAAGCTTGCATTCAGATAAATATAGGTTTTAATTACGCACCCAATTAACTTTGCAAAGATATATAGCATCACATAGAGAAACCTTCTTCTTCCTCGATATATCCCTGGTGTTGACCTGTTTTTTATTGTATAACAATTTGCGGCAGAGCTCCTGAAAGATCACTCTGCAAAAAAAAATAATAACAATAATAAAATAAATAAATATCATTGAAACACACAACGCTCAGAAAGATGAAGGGGTATTAGGAAAAGAGTAATCAATGACTACTTCAGATGAGAACAGAAACTCGAACTCCAACGTTTAGGGAGAGTCATGACGACCAAAAAGGTAAATAACCTCAACGAATAACCACAAGCTAGAAACTTGTTTTTCGTTGGACAATTTAATCCCAAATAAACAACTTCAAATAAACTAAACAATTAATTACAGCAAAAGTACCAAAAAATTGCTCTTTGTCTTCACTTGATACCAAATGTTTAAAAATAGATCACACGTCACTATAAAGTTAAAGAGTGTCACCAATCGATTTTCTGTTAGGATTTCGCTAAAAAAATAACGGTCAACGCATTTTCACATGCAAGACACGTATGTTAATCGAAGAGGCTGAATCCAATATCACCATCAGACTCCTCTTCTTTTATGTGAAAAAGGCATTGACTGTTATTTTTTTAGCACAACCCTAACAGAAAATTGATTTGTGACACTCTTTAATTTTCTAGTGCTGCACGATCTACTTTTAAACATTTGGTATCAAATGAAGACAAGGAGCCACTTTTTGGTACTTTTGCTGTAATTATGAGCATTTGATTATAATTGATTTAATCAAATTAAATACGTTTGTCAATTGATACTAAATACAGGGTTCCACATATCAAATGAAGTAAAAAATGGAACAACAATGACAGTGCCTACAAAAATCCATTGTCCACCTAACTAAATCTAGGCCTTTCAATTTCAGAAATCTGAGCTTGGGGAATGCACCTTCTTCTCCAATGTACCATGTTTCCCCAACAAATGCATACCACTCTAACTTGAGAACTTCAAGATTTGGTAACTTATCAATTGCCGAGATTTCACTCCATGAAAGCCCCAGATTATGTAGAGTTAGCTTCTTTAGATTTTGGGGAAACCGAAACTGATAAACACAGTTTCTTTTCCAGCCACTAATACAGAGTGATTGAAGTCGGGTCACAAGATCCAAAGTTAAAATCATCAAAGCCCCAACATCCTCCTCAACCGCCAAGCGGAGAGTGCATCCAAGTCGGCGAACATAGGGAAACCTCTTAGTTACTTCTTTCTTTGCTTGATCACCAGAAATTAATACTCCCTCCGGTCGTTAATATAAGACATTTTGATTTGTCCTAGGTTTTAGCTAGTACAGATTTTAAATTGACGAAAAAATGTTAAAAATATATTTTCACATTCGTTGTATTCTCTTAAATGTTACCAAATATGTTTAACGTTTTTTAGTCAATTAAAAATGCGTACTAAATTAAATATAGAACAAATCAAAATGCCTTATATTAAGGATCAGAGGGAGTATGTCGTAGAGTGCATATGCACGTTCTCTAAACTTGAAAGTTGGTTAGGATTCTCTAAATCCAACTCCCACAAAAAAACCCATGAATATGCTTGCATATGCCTTAATTTTTTCAGATTAATTCCATACAGTACGTGGCAGCAAAACATCAAATGGACACCTCAGAACAATAAATGTCTCCAAATTCAAGAGGTAGGCAATTGACGAGGGGATGTTGAGTGATGTACCTTGAAAGACCAAAGCTAAGTACGTCAAGTGACCAAGTAGTTGAATTTGAGTTGGAAAGAAAGGCCAACCGAAGTCAATGTTCAAACACAAAACTCTTAGAAGTTTGGAGGATTGGCAAAAAAATTTGGAGGATTGGAGGATTGAACAAAAGAGTGCGTAATGGAGGTGCAAGTAGCATTAACTCTTCAAAATCAACTCCACTACGATTAGCATGCAACCTGTACAACGTGCTTGAATCAGTGGAAATTCCTAGCTCTTTGCAATGTAAGTGATTCAGAAAGTTTTCGTGTTTGCCTTTTGTTGGGTTTCTTCTCAAATTCCCAAGCCCCATGAAGTGAGTATTGGGCCACTAGAGTCCAATAAGGTTGTAATAATTGTGTAAGGTTTTAGTATAAATAGGAAGTATTTGTACTAGAATCATTTGGGGAGAAGAGAGAGAAGATGTAACCACTCAATTGAGAGAGAGTTCTTAAGTGAGGGGGGTAGAATTAGGATTGAGTTGAGACAAGATCCTCTCCTAGTTCTTACTTCTTTATGTAGTGATGTACATATTTCTTCCCCGGAGCACATTAAAGGTGAGTGATGGTAAACACTTTGTGAGAGAGTGTAAGAGTAGAATTGAGGGAGAGAGACATAGTGTGTTGAGAGAGGCTCTACTTTTGTAAACTCTTCTATTCTTATGCTAGTGAAAGTGTTGCCATTTCCGTGGACGTAGATCTATGAGAGATCGAACCATGTAATTTGTGTGTTGTGCTTTTTGTTATGTTTGCTTGGTTGTTTACTTTAATTCCGCTGTGTGTATTGTTGAGTGAGTAAACATCCTGCAATTAGTGTGTAGTGGGGATCAAAAAACCCTAACAGGTATCAAGAGCTGAAGGTTCGAAGTTGGGACTGTTTTTGAGTGGGTAGAAGAGGTGATTTTTGGTTTGGCATGAAGGAAGTATTTGCTGGCCGATCAGAGTTCATGGTTGAATTCCCCATATCATAAAACATTGGGAGCCCAAGTTTCATGAGCATTGGACCACCTGAGAGAGAGGAATCGCCGAAAGAAGAATTCTGGCTGATGTAGTGTTTTTTGGCCACCGGAGCAGAATCTCGCTGATCGGATACCAGATCTGGATTCTACACTGTCGATTTGTGATAGTGGTGAAGTTTGAGAAGAATCGGACCGTTGGATGTGGAGATATCACGGTTTGAAGTTGAGGCGTTCTGGACCGTCCGTTGAATTGGCGGCTGAGATGAAGAAGCTAGGGTTTTGCTGAGATTCTGACACGTGACAGTGTGTTATTGAGCCAACTTTGCTACCAAGTGGTGTCATGTGTTGATAAGTGACACGTGTTGATTGGTCCACGTGTCTGGAGGTTGAAGTTAGATGCCATATGGCTATTTGTGATTGTGCCACGGTGTTGTTGATGTGTTACTGATGTGTCTGCCAAGTAGGTGCTGACCGTGCTGCCATGTCATCGGTCAATGTCAAAGTTTGACCACCACATCATTGGTTGATCGCCACATCATCAAATTTTTTAGGTGACATCTTGCCCCTCCTAATTTCGAGTGAGTTTGTTTTTGGCATTGGTTTTGTCAAATTCAATCTGGTCTTATTTGCAAAGCCACATTCTCAAATCTACTGGTTAGCAGAATTCTACTTCCATTACCGTCATCTGGAAATGAATTTGTCAAACCAGTCCATACTTCAGTATCCCAAACATCATCTAAAATGACAAGATACCTTTTTACCTTCAAATATTTGCGAAGTGTGTTACCCAAATCATCTTCACTCATTTTTGATAGCTCATCGATAGATTTCTCACCAAGACTCTTTAAATTATCAAACAAGAAACTCCTCTTGTTCCATACTTGGGAAACAGTGCACCATAAATGAACATGAAAGTGAATGGTGATGTAGGGATCTTTATAAATTTTCTTTGCCAAAGTAGTTTTCCGTAACCCTGCCATACCTACTATAGAAACAACGTCCAAACTTTTTGTACCTCTTATTAGACGCCCAATTATCTCTTGTGACTCATCATTCAATCCCACAACAAGCTCATCAGATTTTGAGATCTTAGGGGCCAAAGGCTTTTGACTATCAGGTTTAGGCATACTCTGGACTCACATGATCTGCCCCTTATTGTCGGAATTTCCCAATGCCTCAGCCTTAAGAAGCTCAATCTCCTCGGTGATGGTGTCAAGGAGAATTTTAAAGTTCTCATGGACCTCTCCAACAGGGCGAGAATCAAGGACAAACTCCGTCTCATAGGCTACCGTAGCAACACGACTCCACAGACCTTGGAGCTTTCCGTTTTGATCATGCTGCCCCATAACATTACCCAAAAAGGATCTTAAATATGCAAGACCATCATAGATAATTGTAACCCTCTTCTTTGCTGAAGCAACAAGTACTGAATCTGGAGCTTCATGTAGACAGGTCGATTTCATTTTCTCCAAAATGGAATCGATAAAACCCAACAAGTTTGTTTGAGGACATGTTGACATTAGTTGAGGTCTTGGTGCCTCTTCTTCTTCGTCTTCCCCCTTGACAAGCTTGAATTTTTTCATAAAATCTGAAAAGAGAAGCTCTACTTTTTCACCCAGGGTTCTTTCTTTCTCGCCACAGAATAGATGGAAAACTAGAACTCCTGACTCACAAATCATTACTCTGATGAGGCCATGCATTTTGTCACATAATTCATCTACCCCCATCAAGTTGTTCTCTCAGATTGGTTCTCAAGAATCTAAGCGCCTGATATAGTTCATACGTTTGATGGTCAGAGATGTATGTACTACAGGTACAACGGAATAACATATGCAAAAGAAGGAAAATGAGAGAATCAACAAAATCCGCCATCAAAAGTACTGATTGGGAACCAGGAGCCAGATTGTTGGATGACTCCGACAATTCTGAGACTTGGTTCAAAGCATTAGCATAAATACCACAAACCTGAGATTCAAGGGGCTCAATTCTAAGTTTGGAAGGATTTGGCCGCTGAACAGATGAATGAACTTTGGGCTTCAAACACCCGAAAATGAAGCAGGCAACATCAACCAACATGCCTCTCAAGTGTATCAATAGCTCTCCCGTTTGCCTACGCTTGAGTCCTCGTGATGTGACAACAAAACGAAGGAAATTCTTCGCGAACCTTAAACTTTCTTTCAGGTCAGATTGATCAATATAGCGAAAATTGACAAGAAGAAAGGGAGTCAATGATATCTAGGAGATCCTTCATTTTGATTCGAGAACTAGAGTTAGTTTCTTCCATGGAACCATTTGAAAGAATCTGGTACATCACCTCCATTTCCTTCAAAATTGCATTTAGCTTTTCATAAAAGAAATCATGAATCAAGTCGTTCTTGTTGTTCATCACCAAATCATCAAAGGACTCCAATAACGTGAGACAAACAACCTGAATCTCCAGAGAATGATTGCATATTTCTTTCAACACACATAAACTATTCTCATAAATCTCATCGCTTCCTTCAGTAAGCCAAAGTAGTAATAAGTGCAATCCAACTTGCTCAGTATCGCTTGTGTCAATGAGTCATGATCATCAATGGTATTTTGAATACAGTTATCAATTATGCCCACATTTCTCCGCAGCTGTCTCTGAAATTGGTACACCAAGTCCATATACATTAAGGCATCACTTCATAGAAAATACTCTCTTCATCACCCATATTTTAATTTGTTAATAGTGAGATGATACCCATTTATCCTCCACTAATGAAAGCAACACAAACCAAATAGTCTAATTTCAAAAAAAAAAAGAAAAAAGGTGTTTGAGGATATATATATTCCACAACTATATATAAATCATTGATCTATATAGAAATCAAATTAAGTATTCATCACAGAAATAATGAACTGAAAACACAACAAATCATAAGGCAACAACTGAAATCTCTTTACAAAACTTAAATATGCTATCCTAAGACCTTAAACAAATAAAGGATATCCATTTACCCCCTCTCATGAAAGCAACACGCAAACACACACACACAAAAAAAAAAAAGTGGTAGTTAAAATAAAATTTCGAAAACAAAATAAAACTTGAGGATATATAAAATATTCCACAACTTTATGGATATTGATCTTTAGCGACGTATTTGATCAGATTAGCAAAAAAAAAAAAAAATTTCATTACCTCATTGAATACCAGCATGAAATTTGAGAAAGAAAAATTAACGACCCTATGTTCTAAACAAATAGTCCACGTTGAGTTTTAAAATTTACACTGTTTTTAGTATAAATCTCAAAACTTAATCTGGATTATTTTTTCTAGGACAGGGGGTACCAAGCCAAAACGATTAACCTAGCTAGCCAAGAATGTTACAAGATACTCCCTCCGTCTCATAATTATTGTCCACTTTGCCCAAAAAATTTTGTCCCAAAATTATTGTCCAATTTGACTTTTTATGGATCAATTTACACATTTGTCCTTAGTAAAAAACATTATCCATAAAATTTTAGTGGTTAAACAATTACTTATGTAGGGGTATATCCGGTTATTTAAGGTAAAATATAATTAAGTTTGACTAAAAATAAAATCTTTCATTTTAGTAAAAGTGGACAATAATTATGGGACGGAGGGAGTATTATTTAATTACCTCATTGATAGAAGCCATATTAAAACTCAGCAAAACTCGACAGAATATTTTTGTTTTTGTTTCTGCTTTTGAGGACTAGAGTAAGTAGAAGAAATCACTGGTGTTCAAGTTGAATCATAGGGTGGGTGAGAGACTAAAGGCAGCAAGGAAGGTTTGAGATTTTGGGGTGATTCGCTTGAAAGAAATGGATGATCTAATGAGGGGATGAAGATTGAATATATTCTCTTTAACAACAATACACTTTTACTTCGTGTAAAGCAACAAATCCTTTTCTAAAAGTTATTCTGTTGTCATATCATTTTTGTAAGAAATTGATTTTCCTCCACTCAATAAGTACGCCTCATGTGTGCACATGATAAGTTGAAAATGCTTTATTAAAAATTTTAGGTTTTCTTCTTGTAATTAAAAGAAAATGATGAATCAAGTCCTAAGGTATACAAGAAAGTGATGAATCAAGTAAGTCCCAAACAGAATAGATTGACATTTAGGCCACTCAATGGTCATTTGAAATTTTCCGAAAGATCTCCATTTTCTCTACATTTCTCTTACAATTAATTATCCAAACTTTGGGACTGATTTCCTACTTCTTATATACAGTACTTTATGACACCTTAAAATTGATGGGGTGATGTACATCATGAGCACAGATCAAAACTTGAGACGTGCGACAAAATTGGAGATGAATTATACTACATCTATCGAGAAAAAAAAAAAAAAATTGTCCACGTTGAGTTTTCAAATTTTTACTGGTTTTAGTTCAAATTTCAAAACTCAATATGACAAGCCAAACATCCTTCAGCTAACGCTCATACAGCTAGGCAAACATCCGTCAGCTTCACATGCACTAGATAATTGTAGAAGGGCAATACTAAATGCAGAGAATTTCAAAATGATAACAGATTGAAGTTTTATACATGCAAATTATTACCTGTTACCTTAAAAATAAGGCTTACAGTCATTTAGAAGTTAACACTAAGCTACATCATCCTCGATCTCTCTAATTCAAAAATGATTGTGTCAAGAATAAGGCAGAAATGCCATCATGAATCTTTGGAAACAACTTGCTTGCCTTCATGTGAATTCTGGTTACCCGGTAGAATATGTGGTGGAAGAAAAGAAGGGATCACAAATGCAAATGCCAAACAAAGCAAGACGAATATCACCACGCACCATGCTTTGTGAGGGATACCAATTAATAATTCATCGCAAGCTGTCATTAGAGGATTAATAATATCAAGATCTGACAAAGGAAAAGAAAATGCAATTTAAAAAGGCTAATCGAAAGAAAAGACCAGATAGCACAACCAAAAATCAGTACAAACAGCATCTAAGGGAGGCAATAAAGGGAAATTAATGAAGGTCACTAGACAGTAGAAGCTGAGAATATCTGCGTAAGTTGTTAACTAATAAACAACTTGAACTGGAGACAAGATCATATCAGAACCGGAATTTATGTCTGTATTGACACTAATTGAAGTTCGAAACAAAGGGACATTGAACAATAAAATTCAGATTAAGTGTTAAATGCAAATTGATTACAACAATGGATAAGCCTACGGAAGATTACAGCTTCAATCACATGACCCAGCAAGGAGCATGTGTACGAATAAGAAGAGAGTAAACACCCAACTTAAAACCAAACTTCACAGCAGGATGGATGCATTCATTAAGTTTGATTGGGACTGTTACTTAAGAACTTAAGCCAAAGAACCGCAGAATGGATAGTCGTGAAAGTCGACAAAAGTAAGTACTTTAGCAAACTATTTACTAAAAGCAAATCATTTCTGAAAGCAATTCTATACTTAGTTTACCTATATTAAATGTGGCATATTTCCTCTCTTCCACTCCTGGTATTGCGACGATTCCCTCGGGCACCACATTCACTAAGACATATAATTTCTTCTGCGCAAAGGTAGACATCAGAATCAGATGTTGATGGCAAGAAATAAGTTTTAAGGGTAGCGTCATGTATACCTGAACCTTGAGAGAATCCATTAATTCTGTTTTGAAAATTAACTTTTCAGTATTCAGCAACCTTCTTCCCATGTGTTGCCCAAGATCCGAGCTTCCTGTTTGTAGTTGAAGGGAGAAACTAGCAGGTATCTGTAATTTATCCAATCACATTATCAGAGATTTTTACCAAAGACATTTGCAAGTTATTGCATTAACCTATAATTCGAAAACAAAGATATAACAAACATATAGAAGCAGGATATGATATCTTCACTTCGTACCACATGTTTGATTTTAGCCCATTCAGTTGATACAGGCAGGATCCTCCTTTTAGTGGAAGAGTTTCCTTCTGCAGCTCAGTCCCGGCATGTAATTCTCTAGTGTCCATCCTACAACAACGTAAATTGTATACTTCAGCGAAACAAAAGACAATCTTGGTTGGATTTCTGTCCAAGAGAGTACTTTATGCATTGACAGGCTGCTGTGTCTCAGGTGCAATATTGAGAAGGGAGAATAAAAATCGCTGCAACAAACTTAATTACTCCGTGGTTCAAGGATTTATTTCGATTTCCTGGTCTTAAACATGAGAAAAATAAATCAGAAAAATGAGCATTAAAATTGCAAAAGATTTCCTGGTCTTTCGATTTCGAATGCGCAACCCCCACGTCTCAGCCTCAAACATTTAACTTGAAGTTCATACTTTTCAAGTTCAAAGAAAGGGGATCCCTAGAAGTAGCTCTCAGCATTCATCTTGCCAAGCTAACACTGATTTGCCTCCCAAGAAGTGAAAAATTTTGGTTTACAATTTGAGTTCTTTTTCCTGGACTAGATGTATCTACCATAACAACATCACTCAATCAAGAGTGCTTATCCAGTTCGCTACAAAATTTTGACTCCATTTTGTCTATTTAATAAGAATTCAATAAAAAAATAAGGCATGGCCTCTAGGGGATACCAAATGCCAATATTTTCCGTTTTGGGGATAGCGACTGGGTGCTGGCTTCCAAAATACATGGAGAAACCAACATGATAAGCAAGGAAACTGAAGAACAAAAAAGTACAGCAGTAACTAACAGTAGGCCAATAGCAGTAGTTACCAACATTACTCAAATGTTGGCTGACATGAGTTGGAAAGTACATTTCTTGAAAATATCCACAATAGTCAATTCTTTCTGAACACTTGAGGATAAGATCTCAACTCTATCCGTGTCCCCATTCATGAATAAAACTTTATCGAAACTCTGCACAAGGCTAAGTATCCAAACAATTGAGGATGAACAACCCTATGGTAACATGATGAAGACGAATCACCGAATTTCGGCAACTAAAGCTACAATGCTTGTCGTGAGTCAGCCAATCGGATAAAATCTTATTAATTATTACTTTTCTACTATGAACCTAGAACTGCTGCTGCAGTAAGCAAGTAATATAAGGCGTTTTGATTATTCATCTTATTAATTCCGCCTATATTCTGCTAACAACTCACTCGTTTTAAATCCAAATCCAACTTTGTCAAACTTGGACTATTTACATCACATGAGGGATAAGTAAATCAAAGCAAAGTGTTTCGAATCACTGTCAGCCTACACAAACGAAACAGAACTAAACGGACATCGCGTCAATGTCAAAAGAAAGAAGAACTAAAACACTTACATGCTGCTTTGACAGAAAACTGCGGCAGCCAAAACGAACTGCATAAGGGAAAAATGCTGGAGTCGTGAAAGGAAACTCATTTTCACAAGCCAATGAACTAAAGATCTCTGGACCTAAAGAAGAACAAGAAAGAAACTCAGTGACACAAATGAAGAAGATAACAGCTTAAATTCTGAATCATTAATTAATAAGGTTTTCCTGAATGCCGACCTAACCGATAGATTCACTCTATATCAAAGGAACATCAATCTTTAACGAAATTCAGAAACCACGAATGCTGAAAGGCAGCTGGTACAGAACAACTTCATACAGGCATTTTGTCAAACAAAGGTACTGTAATGACCGAAGGATCAATTAGAAGTTTTACTTCAACAGTATCACTAAAGAAGCAATAAAAATTGACAAAATTGCAATTCGGTCAGGAGCAATAAGAAAATTCCTTCCAGGCCCTTAAACTTGCATACTTTGCAATTTGCTTACTTTGTGCGTTCAGTTTTGGTCTTTTTTCAATTTTTTATTAGTTATTTTTTTGGAAGAAATCATTTCATTGGTTCAGTTTCATACATTCTACTTCACATTCAACGCAAGTTTAAAATTTTCCCTAACAAATATTTAGGATGCTTTAACCAATATCAACTCAGCACTAATTTATTTGTTATGTAATTCACGTCTCTCACTCTAAATCTTCGCAAAATTACTATCATCTTCACATTCTCAATGTCCTTTCATTTAATGTGAAATACATTCCTCTACCAAGTAAAAAAAAAGTACATCATCATTATAAGCACCAAGATACATCATCGTTATAGGCATTGTGAACTCAAGAAGCAGCAAAATGATTATTCAGATGCCGGAATTAAGGGTTTATCTGAATGATCTTCCACACAACAACTTCAACTTGTCACTCCCAGATTTTTACCAGAAGCAGGAAATGAAAAATGAAGTGGGGTATAGGAAGAGTAGCTTCATAGCATGTGTGGCTGGTTTATTTCATAGCAGACTGTTTCCTAATAACAGTCTACACTTTGTTCATTCTTCTTCCAGCCTTCATTGGCTTTCTCAGGTAAATTACTCATTAATTCAATCTTACTTAAGCTGCTTTTCTTTCTTTTCATTGAACCTATCATAAGGACCATTTTTCTACTCCTTGGGTCCTTCCAATTTATCACTACAATTTTCAGTTAACAATTGCAAAATCCATTATGTGGAGAAGAATCGTTGCGAATTAAGTTCTTTTGCAATTAATTTATGAGAAAAATTCAAATCTTTTCTCGTATTGGAAACGATAAACATGCAACCTAAATAATTCACAGGCAATAAACAAGAACAAGAAACTAAAAGCAAGAGTTTCAAAGGCATACCCTTTGGTTCCTCTGGCCAGTTACAGAGCACTTAAGGTCAGCTAGCCCTCTTCTTAGTGGTCTGATACACAAGCTTTCCACCCATTAACAGCCATAGGATCAGAAACCCATTACATTAACTCCTCCAGAAAACCAAAAACCACCAAATCAAACACGAATTCACAGATACAGAGTCGCATTAAGTTCTAAACTGATGGGTTTTCAGGGATTTGGTTGAAGTATACATTTGCGCCATTTTGTTGTCGTTGGGCTTCTTCCTTGGGCTATTTGACATAAAAATGGGCCTTTCAAATTGATCTGTTTTTAATGTCATTCTGATTTTCAGCATGTTTTTACTCTACTACGCTTCCGAATGAAATACTAACATTTAGAAAAAGAAGAGAATTTTTAGAGATGTAGTATATGTGAATTTGTTGGGTACAGTAAACAATGTTGTAGTCCTAAAATAGGAGTACTAATTTTAACACAGTCCGGGACAGAATTGGTGGATTAATCTAACATTGTAAGCATCCTTGATTCGTAGTTGTCAATTGTCATGCTATCAAATAATTCGTGGACTGATTGGTCTCATACATTTAGTCCAATTAACTTTTACGTTCCAAGTATTAACATTTGAAGAAATTTGTCTCAAACATTTATATTCATAACCTTTTTTTTGTCTCAATTTACTTTTCTGTCAATTTTTTCGTTTGATTGACCATTGACTTACCATTACTAGAGGTATTTATGGTATTTCAAAATTTATAAATTTAAAAAATTTAAAAAAACAAAATATTAATTTTTTAAGAGGCAACCGAAGCTGGCCGAATACTGCTGACATCATCAACGGCCGATTTGACATCAGCGACGGCGGAGATGACATCATCAAATGGAAGAAAATAAAATGCTCTTGGGGAGGGTAGACCTGTATTCAGGCACGAGAAACCTTCAGGCCAACTTCACTTTTGTGCAAGGTTTCACTGTGTACTTATTTATACTATTATGGCTTCTGGTTTAATTGCTCAACAATTAATGATTTTTTTTTTCTCTTTCTTTAATTACCAGCTATATATCGAGATTTCATATGTGTAATATTAATTACGAATCATTGGCTCATCAGTGATTCGTAAGTTATTCATGTACTTAGTGAATCCCACATATAATAGAATGCCCATAAATTAATCCTATATAAATTAATAATCTCTTTTAAATAATAATTTTTTCCGGTTCTGACTCGGAACCAGTACAAAAAATGAAAAAACCCGATTAATAATAAGATAATGATTCAAGAATTTCCTACATAAATATAGGTCTCGATAAATTCATAAATAAATAATACTTAAAATTAAAAAAAATATTTTTGAAGATTAACTTATATTTTAACTTAATTATGTTTTGATATGTGCGATTATCATTTTTTTATTTAAAAAAATATAATGATATAAATATGTTGCAACCGACTTTTCTTCTTCTGAAAATATTAAATTTTGTTAATTATTTATTATTGGGATAAAAAAAAACTAATTAAATTAATAAATTATTTATATAGTAATAGCTCTATAAATTAATTGATTAATTTTGAGGTCCCAAGTGTGTTAATTTGTATTGGTTCTACTTTACTAAAATTATATAGCTTACCAAACTGTATAACTAATCATTTTAGTTCAGTAAATCATTGATTATATTTTTGAGAAATAGAAACCACAAGTTATTTTTAAAATTCAAATTAATCAATGATTTATTACATTTAAATCCAGCAATAATTGATGAACCAGTGATTCTTAATTAATATTACTCATATGAAATCTTGATATATATAGTTGGAAATTAAAGAAAGAGAAAAAAAATCGTAAATTGTTGAGCAATTAAACAAGAAGCGATAATAGTATAAATAAGTACACAATAAAACCTAGGGGTGTTCACAGTTTGGCTCAAACCGATGGAACCACCCAATCCGGTCATCGGTTCAGATTAATGGGCGGATTATGATTATATTTTTAAACCGGCGGATTGAAAAATTGAAAACCGGTCAATCCGGTCCGGATTACGGTTTGGCACTGTCAAACCGTCTGTCAATCCGGACCGGACCGTATATATATATCATAAAATAATAATATATTGGTTTTGTATATATAGCGTCGGATAGAGACTTTTATTGAAAGTGTTAAATTGTCCCATTGGCATTGTTGTTGTTCCCTCTACATTAGACCTTGCTGAAGGTCGTGTGTTCGAATCTCCCATGGACTAATTTTTTTTTTTCCAAGAAAAGCCTCCAAAAAAAGGCTGAAAATGTCCAAAAAATTTCAAGAAAAGTTCAAAAAAGGTCCAATAACAAAAAAAAATGTTTAATTTTTTGCCCAAACCGTCAATCCGCCCAAACCAAACCGTTAAAAACGGATTGGATTGGTCCGGATTATACACCAATCCGGTTCGGTTACGGATTGAAAATTTTTCAAACCGTAATGAACGATTTAGTTACAGATTCCTATTAATCTGGACCAATCCGCACCGTAAACACCCCTAGTAAAACCTTTCACAAAGTTGAAGTTAGCTTGATGGATTCTAGTATGTGCATGCATGCGCGCGGTCTTGATTTTCCACCCTGTCCAGGAGCATTTTATTTTCTTCCATTTGATGATATCATCTCCGCTGTCGCTGATGTCACATCGCCCGTTGATGATGTCAGCAGTATTCGGCCACCTGCGGTTGCCTATTAAAAAATTAATATTTTGATTTGTTTTTTAAATTTTTTAAATTTATAAATTTTGAAATACCATAAATACCCTTGATAATGGTAAGTCAATGGTCAATCAAACGAAAAAATTGACGGAACAGTAAATTAGAATAAAAAAATATTATGAACATAAATGTTTGGGACCAATTTCTTCAAATGTTAATGCTTGGGACGTAAAAATTAATTGGACCAAATGTTAGAACTAATCTGAGGGTTTACTCATAACTCATGACAAAATTAAGTGTGAGAAAGGTAGAAATACTCCCTCCATTTCAAAATAAGTGTCATCCTACACTTTGCACATAGTTTAAGAAACTCTTAAATAAGGTAATAAAATTACTTTAATATCCTCAACTAACCCCACTAAAAAAATGTCCACCAATAGTATTAATTCTTTCGAGGGTAATTTTGAAAACTTTGGACAAAAAGTGCATTGAAATGTGAGAACGACACTTATTTTGAAATTTCTCCATTTTGCTAAAACGACACTTATTTTGGAACGGAGGAAGTACTAATTTGCTTTCTAGGTTAATTAATCAAAAAAATACCATATGTTTGATCCACAAAAGTCAAACAAATGGAAGCATTTCAACTTTCGTAACTATGGGATATGTTGTCGCATAATTATGTGTTGTATTAATAACTATGTGTCGTAATTATGGGAAACATAGTTCGTAGTTTCAAGGTTAAACCGCTAAAAGAGAGACGAGGAAGTCACCGGCCTAAGGTGATGGTGTCCTGCGCCAAAACTAAATTGAGAATTCACAAGGTTAATGTGTGATGCTCCACAAATATGACAAATTTTGTGCTCCATCCGTTCTAAAATGGTTGTCCAGTTTGAGATTTTCACTATTAATATAATTTAAATTTAAATTAATCTAAATTGGATAATAATTTCGGGATTGAGGGAATACTATCTTACTTATTGTCCGAGAAAACTAGTCTAGATTAATTTATTTAAAAAAAAATTATCCAATTTCAGAAATATCAAAAGTAATTTTATTGAAACGGGTGAAGATTTCTCATAACTATTAATCGTCAAAACAAAATTTGTATCTATGTAAGATTATAAATATCGTAGAGATGAAATTTTTATAGTATAAAGTAAATTGTACTTTGATTGGGTTGTTGAATAAAAAAAAATACGTGTATTTTGTCTAATCTTGATTTTTATTGTTTCTCTTTGGGACCAAAAAAGTAATAAATATTTTATAGTTGTCTTTTACGCCGCATAAGTTTATTATTATGCTTCCTTTTGATTGTTGGAGCCTAAGCCCATACGAGGCTATGACAGTAGCTGAGAATAAGCCACCCAGTTTTTGGCTACTAAAATATGGGGTAGTATATGAAGAAAAAGTTACAAAGAAAATTTTAAAAAATTATAAATTAATCATTTAATCTATGTTTTTCTAAACTTAATAATGTATAAATCCTAAATGAAAAATATTAAAATTGAATTAAGATGACAATTCCGATCAATTCAGATCCCGATCCCCCAAAAAAAGTAAGTCAAACATGATCAGCTGGCTATAAAAAACAAAAATAACTTTAAATTCCACAATTCTCAGTAGTAATTTTTTTTTTAAAAAAAATCCAATATACTACAGTACATTTCTTTTTGGATTTTCTTTCTCTTGCCATAGTTTACTTTTCAGTTTTCTGGTCAAGTTGCTGCCTGAATTTCCAAAGTTACACTGCCACCGAAATAATTGGGTGACAAAATCAATATCACTATCAAATTAAATGTTGTCTACTGGCTTCGAATGGGAATCATATTTCTTAGTACAATAGACCAATAACAATAAAGATAAATAATTAATCTTTGTTTTTTTGCCCCCATAAATTTTAATGGACTCCACCTGAAATCATGGATTCCTCCCTAAAATTATATGTTGTGTATATTGACATAGTACATCGGATGCACTAATAAATAATTTCTCTTAATTTTGGTAACTTTAACATATGTACTATTTACCATATCTTGTTTATATTTCTTTCTTTTTTACTCGTTGAAGAAGAAGAAGAAGACTCCAAATAATTTAACTTAGTTCCAAAAAAATATACATATAGGTATAGATGTCATCCTTTTGTGTTTGTTAAAATTACAAAAAGTTCGTCGTACTTGTATGGAAATCATATATGGCTTATAAATGAAGATTTTACTAATTATCTACACTAGAGAGTATGAACGTGCTTCACGCCTACGTGATATTTTATAAATTTTGACAAGAAATTCAATCTTCAGAAGATCAAGAGCTACGTGGAGATAAACGGATTGTGATAATAACTTTACATTTTGTGTGGTAGAGATAAAATTGTTACAATAATGAAAATTGATCAAATGATATCTAGTAAATAAAGTGAAAGACTAGCAAAACCTCAAAGTTATTCTGCAATTATAATATGGGTAGAAAAATAGATATTTTATATCTATCACAAAATACTAATGGTCAATATATTTATTATATCATCTTAGTATAATAAATAGGACAATCATTTCGTAATATTCCATCCACTGATACTTTCGTTCTTGGTCGGTTGTTGCCTGGAAAACGAAAGGAGGTTGGTGTGTGGCTACCTTAAAACTTAGTTTCAGAAAAGGCGTGCGCAGGTAGTTTGCAAATGTTATAGGTGTTGTGTCACTAATTAATTGGGAATCAAATAATGAATTAATCAGATTATCAGAATTAATGTAACGGGGCAGGAAGGACTTCGACATTAATTTCTTCTGTGCGCATTAGTCTATACTGATCTTGACTTATTTTGGCTTTGAATGTAGCCTAAATCTGGAAATATTCATCAGTTTGAAAGTTCATCGAGTATCTTTTGAGTGCTTGAATAGACACACGAAAATTTGGCGGAAATTGAAGTCCTATATAAAAACTATTTATGTTTGAAACGCAGGCTATTGTTTGAAAATTGGATACTCCCTCCCCTCTGGTCCTTAATATTGTTGAGTATCACACATCGGTGGTGGGAGGGAGTTGATATCAATATATAAGTATATGGGCTACTCCCCTCATTGCCAATTGGTTTCGATGTGGAACCCCATGGGCTTTTATATGGTATCAGAGCCAGCCCGCCAAGAGTCAGACTCTAAGCCTGATGTGATAGACTTGGTAGGGCTGAGACGTGAGACGGTGACTAGGCTAACAAGCCCAACCCAAGAAGAGACGTTGGGCTTGTGGGGGGAGTGTTGAGTATCACACATCGGTGGTGGCTGGTAGGGCTAAGACGTGAGGCGGTGACTGGGATAACAAGCCCAACCCAAGAAGAGACGTTGGGCTTGTGGGGGAGTGTTGAGTATCTTACATCGGTAGTGGGAGAGAGTTAATATCAATATATTAGTATATGGCCTACTCCCCTCATTGTCAATATAAGTCATTTTGATTTATCCTATGCTTCACCTAATATGCATTTTTAAATGGCAAAAAAACCTAATAAATATATTTGCAAATTCGTAATATTCTCTTGATTGTTATGAAATATTTTAAAGATTTTTTTTGTTAATTAAAAATACGTACTAGGTGAAACCTAAGACAAATCAAAATGTCTTATATTAAGTACTGCAGAGTATTACAGCTCTCAGTCGTTTCATAAGTTTTGAGTATTTTATCATTTGGTCTTACCGATCGAGTCCCATTCTTTATCGCGTAATGAAATTTTTCCCGTGCCCCTAATCAAAGACGTAAAATTAACATTTTTTTTGGATCATATATATAGTTAGCAATTATGTGTATCAAATTGCTTTAACTTTAAATATACAGCTTTTAAGATATTTTATCATTATGATTCTTGCATTATTAGTTGCCAAATTTATTTTCCTTCTATCTTGCTCAGAACCCTATTGCTCGATCGATGTGACATTCTTTGTCAAAGTCCAGTTAATGTTCATGTCAGGGTTCAAAATTTCGTTAAAGCAATCCGATTCAAAACAAAATTGTTGCGAGTCTTGAAAGGCATAATAGAGTATTCATAACAATGACTTTCTTTGTTAAATTTCTATATATGATGGGAAGAATAGACATCAGATGGCCACAAACGTTGTTTGGATTATGTATGTTTGTTTGACAAACCAACCTGAAACGTACAACTTATTTGTGGTTTTAAGTTCCAAATATGGATAAATCTTCGTCGAGTCTTTGACTAGAGCTATTTCCAGGTAGTGAAAAATGAGACGATCGTAATCGACATAAACCGCTGAAAGCAATATGGTTTGAATAATTTTGTTGACCACAAGCTAGTCCACAATCAAACAATATTAGAGCCCAAAATGTTCATGTTCAAGACAACTGACAAATACAAGGAAACCAAAATGAATTACTCTTTCCCTGCCAAAATATTTTCGATTGTATTTATTAAAATGTTTGAGTACTACAGAAAAAAAGAAAAAAAAAACATATTAATTCGAAGTCGTGGATGCATTAATTCGAAGGTCAAATTTTAGGAACGTATTAATTATGAAGTATGAACTTTCACTTTCTGATGTAACGCAATCAAATTAAGGTGATCAAAAGTCTCCCGCTTCTTGCTGCCACGAACGTTCATTCGCCTGCATTTTTTTTTTTCGTTCTTTTAGCGGACAAAAATTATCTTTCTTCTTCTTCTTCTTCTTCTTCTTTTTTTTGAAAAATGAAATTATATTATATGGGTATATAATAAAAAAAATTCCATGGACACACACTAGGATGGATTTTGGTAGGCCTTGCTTTCTGGGGTGATACTGCCACCTTGTTTCTTTTAACTTCTACCAGTAATTACCGCATGTTGTGCGGGTTGAAATGATTTTTAATTTTAAATTTACACAAAATTTAATTAAAATAAAAGTTATTTATTCGTCTATGTGATTTTTGTGAAAAAAATTATAAAATCCAGTTTTTTATTTTATTTTTTGAAAAAATTGTTAAATCTAGTCTTCTTTTCTAATTCATTTTGAAAAAAGAAATTTTAACTAACCAAAGTAAGTTGATGCCTCATACAATAATTTTATCAAAATAATAATGCTGTTAAAATCTGAATCTGATCTCTCAATTTATAAAAAGGTTGTAACTAAAAAAAATCAAACTATCATGTGTTACAAATTACCATTAAGAAACAGTAAAAAATCAGTTAAAAAAAAGCATGCATCTCAAAAAAAAAAAAAAACATAAGGTACCATCGGTCAATTAAAAACCCATAACAGCAATCCCCATTACCAGCATGTAACCATAAAACCCACACCACCATTTGTAAACAATTGATATAACTACCATTTACCATTTTAAAAAATAAAACAAAATCTTATATATAATGTTATATTCTATTTCACCCGACGAATCTATTTAGTTATATTTTTTAAAATTTTTGAAGTTATAAAATTTTTAATACGGAGGGATAATAATTAATATATTGTTATACATTTTTTACCGAGTTTCTAATTGCATGTCATTGCATTTATATTTATATATATATATATATATATATATATAGCTTATTGGTATTTTTTCGTACAAGAATTAATCATTATTCAATTCAAAGCAGATATGCAACTTGTACTACCTTTGTCAAAGAAATAGTCCAACATTTAGTATTTAGATTTGTACTGCTTTTAGTAAAAATTTTATAAATTCAATATGGATTATTTTATGGATAGAGAGAGCATTAATCTTTACTCGAACATGTTTTTTTCCGAAAAATAAAAGCCACTCCATTTAGCTTTCCTTTTTCCAGAATATATGGAAAAATAAAAGGAAAGAGGAAGGAAACAATGAAAGAGTGAACATAGTAATATTTCTTGATAGGTAATCAATATGTACGAGGCATAGAGAGAGATTAAAGAAGAAACATATAACGAACATTATTTCTTCAATCTTACAATATGTTACATCTACTACTTAGTAGTATTATTTTCCAATACACAATGATATCACAAATTGAAATTATATCTTAGCAAAATCCACGGTCTCTTTTCCATCATGAGCTTTACGGAAGAAATGCTTGACGTAATCCGAATAAAGAACTTGTTTGTAAATGGGTTCCTCCCCATTCTTAAGAACTTCCGGTAACGGGCCAATAACATCGCTCGGTTTCGGGTTCACGAAAATGGGCACCGAGATCCGGTTTTTCAACCCGTTGGCAATAACCCGATGTTCAATGCTCTTGTATCTACCGTTGCTTAAGATTTGAAGTGCATCACCAACGTTGATAACAATCGCCCCGTCGATTGGTGGGACGTGGACCCATTCATTGCTGTCCAATTTCTTGACGTACAAGCCTCCTATGTCGTCTTGGAGCAGGATTGTTAATGTGGATACGTCGGAATGGCGCCCGACTCCGACTGTGAGTTCGGGTTCGGGACACATGGGGTAATAGTTGAGGTTAATTCTTTTAGATCCCATCAAAAGAGATTCTTTTTCTTGGTCAATTTCCTCGACGTTAAGTCCTTTCATTAAAGCCTCTAGTAGCCTTCGAATGACGACTTCTGACTCTTTCATGAATTTTATTGCTTCATTCCTGGAAGTAGGACACAAATATTAATAACAAGTTAAGGATATTTAATTTGCAAAATTATTTAGGAAAGATCCATTTAAAAAACAAAACACTTAGGAAAGAGATGGTTAGTAAATTTACTCATGTTGTAAATCTTTGTTTTGATGATGATTACTATAATGAAGACAATGAATGTTCATTTTAATGCATGCTATACTAACGAACAAAAAACCAAGTATTTTACACGTCCAAAAATATGTCGAAAAAAGAGGTCGAAAACAAAACTATTCCACAAACTGAGCTCTTTTCGAACTTAGAACTTTAAAAATTAAAAATTAGTGAAAAAAATACTTTATCATCTTCGTAGAAAATAAGGAATGCTTGCTACAATTGTTAATCAAACAAAATCTTTGATGTTAAAAATTCACCAATCAATTCCATGAAGAAAAAAGATTATGTATATACCTGCAAGCAGAAGGCCAAAGGGCGGCAGCTTCATCGTCAGAAACATAAAAGAGACTAAGGAAATCTTTCCACTCCAAAGCCTTCTCAGCTTTAGGAGTGAAACTAGTTCCATATCTCACGTTGTTACTCGGCGAATTATCTTTGGAGTGCTTATTTTTCTCCTCAGCCGGTTGCGCGAAAAACCGGCGAGTCGCCTCCTTGACATTTTCAAGAACTTGCATTGGTACGCCATGGTTGACAATTTGGAAGAAACCCCATTTTTCAGCCGCGTTGCAAATGGCGTTAGCGACTTCGGGATTAGGCCATTTCGATAAGTCGATAACCGGGATCGCATCGTCAGGAATTACGATGCTATTAGTGATTTGTTCTTCGGGAGGTTGAATATACTGTTTCGGTAAAGTTTGAAGCCCTAAGTCGGCAAGACCCTTTACTCCATGGCCTTTATCAACAGCAAAACTAATCACATCCCATGATTCGGAATCCTTAGTCAATGCCGGAGCCATTGCTAAATATGTTGAAGTTTGAGATTTTTCTTTTTAAGGTTGGAGGAAATCGACGATTTGAGGTATAGTAAAACGTTAAAGAAGCGTCGAGTATGGCTTGGTATGAAATGCCATGGAATGCTAGGCTATTTATAGAGTTAGGATCGATGGATTCACAAGTTTTGTCCTTTGTTTATTTATTTTTTATAAATTTGGCCCTTAAAATTGTCGAAATTAATCTTGCATTTAAATTACCTTTTTGAAAAGTCAGATGAAGAAATTTGGAGGTTGGTGGCTGGAAAATAATCTGGAGATTAAAAGGCTTGAAAATGGAGCGAGATTAACGTGGCCAACATGCATGCGCGGAAAAAAGGTAAGAACTACAAACTTAACACCAAACACAACGTGGCAAACAATTAATTTTTTTTTTGTTCCTTTTTTTTTGTTTTGCAAATTGTTGAAAATGAAACATGAAATTAAAATTGTGGAAAAGTCACCAACCAGTACATTGATTTCTTCACTCGTAAGGTCTTCACTGGGACTTTCTATATATATCTCTCTCTCTCTTTTTGTTTTTTTTTTTTTTTGTCTTTTTTGAAAACCGGCATCTATACACAAGATTAATGTTTTATCGGTCATTTTTAAATAAATGAAAGAAAGAAAATGGTCTCATGTTCTCTTGTCTCAAATGGATGGATGGAAATTCTTGAACTCAACATATATATCTCATATGCTACTCCCTTCATTGTCAATTGGTTTTGAGGTGGAACCACATGTGAACTTATATGGGCCTTCAAGATGGTATCAGAGCGGGTTTTAATCCGCGGACCTATGGGACTTGTGGAGCGAGGTAGACTGACCCAGATTGGGTCTTGAAACTTTGGTCAATTCACGGAAGAAATCTGGAGTTTGACTTTGAATTTTGACTGGCCCGGTAAGCGACTATTTATCTGAGAAAATAATCGATCGCAAGATTGAAATAAATAAAAAAAATATATATATATATATATATATATAATTTATGTCCAAGTTCATTGGGGTTGAGAGGGGCATGTTAAATGAATGAAAGAAAGAAAATGACCTCATATTCACTTATCTCAAATGGATGGATGGAGACTCTTGAACTCAACCTATATACTTTATGGGCCGTGTTAAATGAATGAAAGAAACAAAGACTCTTGACTGGTAGTTATTCAGAAATCGTGGGCGCTGGTTAAATTGGAGATGGAGAAATGTTTGTTTGGATGGTTTGATGCCTTGGCATGTTACTTTCTGAAGACTGCATATTAGTGCATTAGTCTCTGAAGACTGCATGTTACAATCTTTTCTTTTTGGGGATGGTGAAATCACATGCATCTTATTAAAAGCAAAACAATATTACACAAAGTTCCTATTAGAGATCAGAGCTAGCTAGCTAGAGCTTAACTTAGTTAACCCATGCATACTACCACTGGATAATGGATATTATTCTAATGATCACTGTTGATACGACAAAAATATCTATACACTTCGATTCAGAATGAAAAATATTAATTTTATTGTGACATATATTCGTTTAAAATTTCACACAACCATCTCAGATCACACATATTAATTTGGAGAAATGTTAATCTGTTGGTGTCGTTCAATATCTTGGCACTAATTAAAGATTAGTGCATTAGTCTCTGAAGCCGTTATATTAATCGAATGAAGTCACTGTTGATAAGAAAAAAACTCACATCGTTTATTCAATATCGAATAAAAATTAGTTTAAGAGTGATATTCTCATTTGACATTTCATTATATGATCTCTCTGCTCATATTCATATTGAATTTTCCTATTTGATTATTTAAATTTAAGGGTAGATAAACCAGTACCAATACCGGTCAAAAAGATAGTACGTAAACCAAGAAGCAAGCCCAATTTGTCCGCTTAAAACGGTAAACATGAAACACATGCATGCAAATGAACTTTCGTAGCAGCTGGTTGGTTCATCCCATATGTAATATATCTACTGATACAACAACAAAAAATAAAATAAAATAAATGGAACTAATAGCAATAACAAGAAGAATACAAATAAAAATAGTTTACACTTTACAGACTATTTGTACTTCTTTGACGTGTGACGTGGGATTTTCCAAATTATCTACCCTACCGTTGAGATTAAACTTTAGTTTTATTAGTAATGGAGTAATCTTTCTTCTTCTTTTTTTTTTTTTTTTCCGTAATAGAGTGATTTTTCTTACTGAATTATAAGTATTTCGATGCGTGGAACATCTTATTTTAGCGAAGAATTAAACTTAATTTCACCAAATAGATAGTGACACTTGTTTCTTTTACTAAATCTATTTCTGTAGGTATTTCTAATCAAGCAGTTCTAATTTTGATTAAAGAGTTCCAAATATAGCTATGGCTACGCAATTATAATTTCATATAATGCCATCTTGCTTCCTTCTTGCAGTTCTTTTTCCTTCATCCATGACTAAAATAATACACCTTTATTCCAAAAAAAAAAAATCAAAATTGAGTTTGGTATTTGTGTTGAAGTGGACTATTTTTTGAGAGAGAAAGGATATTTAACAATACTTTAAAAAAAAAAAAAATTTCTCCACTTCACTTCAACTTTTTGATTGAAAGGAGATACTTATCGCTTTTTGTAATATTGGAAAATATTCACATCTAACACTCAACAACATTCTGTATATCCCACCATACGTCAACAACTATTACAAAGAATTAAATATCGACATAATTCCCAGCTTTTTCTCAGAAACTCTTCCTCACTTGTCCTTCTTTTTCTATAGTTCCACTGCACTTTCTACCTAATTACCTCTCGCTTAATTTGCATTAGTCACCTGTTCCGAAATTAATTTAGCTGCCATTGATTGTGGTCGATGTTGGCCTTTTTAAAACTCCCTTTTTCTGTATTTTATATATGATGCAGTCTCACATATTAGAATTAGATATGCTTATTAGTAGTTATTTGATTCATTAGTTAACCAAAAAATCGATCCATATATTCTGCTTAAGTAAATACTTTTTTATATACACCTGCACACAGATTGAATAGGGTATGTATATAGGTCGTCCCGAGAGGTTAAAATCTGAAAATGCAAATATGACAGTTTTTTTTGGTAAAGATTTAATTTCATTACCAGAGAAAAATAATTACGTACAGACTGTCCAAAAAAGTCCGAAAGTAATCACAAATACAACAAAATATGAAAGAAAAAATTATCATACATGTCATCTCCTACTGACAACCAATGGATTAAAGTATAGTCTATTATACCACAAGATGACCTTGGGGGAGTTTGGGATCCTTTCTATCGAAGCGAATCTAATTTTCAAATGAAAAACAATCTCTTGAATAACTTGGAGACAACCGTGGACTCATTTTAAAAGATAATCATATTCTTTGCTCTCTAAATATAATATACCGAGCCACACCAAGAAGTTTTCTTAGCTGCACTTAAAATGTCATTCTTCAATCTTAGAATATGCTAAGTGATAGCATCCCAAGAACAGGGAAGATCCCATCCATTAAAACCACAAATCACCAACCAAATTTGAGAGGAGAAATTACAGTTAGTTATCCGCAAATATGACAGTTAATGCATGTAACATGCGTAAAAGAATTTAGAGAAAATTATGAAACCAGCTAGTTCTCCGCAAAAGTTCGAATTTATGGGTGGCAGAGCTAAAAATTAATCGATAATTGTTTCATTTGTCAACATGCATGGAATTTATTTAAAGAAGAATCCATAAGTTGCTCGTTTTTGTGGTCAAATGTATGTACGTAACCCACAATAGTTTGTTGAAGTCTTATATTTTTTGACCCACAAATACGCATAATCAACAAATAAGGTCACTATATATACGCGAGCACGTACGCTAGCATCCTTTTCAACAGTAGGAAATTAATAAAACATACTGTTATCGATTGAATCTTGAAAGATTTGTAAGTGGAATATTCAGAACGATAATGGACAATATTTTTGACAAATTAGCATGCCACCCAGCAGTAAAATTATGTTCCGAACCAGAAGAAAACCACAAACTTGGAGTTGTTGCAGTAAGATATAGTAGCAGGACACTTGACTAAAACTATTTGGGGCTTGAGAAAGGTTCAAATGATCTTCCAAAATTATTGTCTACTTTGAATTTTCACTTTTGGTTCATTTTATATTATAAAATAAAAATTTAAATTAGATAATAATTTGAGACTGGAAAAGTAAATAGTAGAAGAACATAAAATAAAAATTAGTACGAAAATATCACAAGAATTAATACATTCCTTGGTAAAAGGATGCGTACACAAGGATATATGATACTTTGTGGCACTTTTCAATTACCATTATTTCAAAACCATGACATAATATAACAAACAATCAAATCTGAATCAAATTAAGTGACATATTACTTAGTATCATATGTTCATATCTTGGCAAAATCAACGGTCTCCTTCCCATCATGAGCTTTTCTGAAAAAATGTTTCACATAGTCCGAATAGAGAATCTGTTTGTAAATTGGTTTCTCTCCGTTTTGAAGCACTTCAGGCAAAGGGCCAATGATGTCACTTGGTCTCGGGTTCACGAAAATGGGAACCGATATCCGATTCCTTGACCCATTAGCAATCACCCGGTGCTCAATGCTCTTATATCTACCGTTGCTCAAAATCTGAAGCGCATCACCAACGTTGATCACGATCGCTCCGTCGATCGGTGGGACGTGGACCCATTCATTGCTGTTCAATTTCTTGACGTACAATCCTCCGATATCATCTTGGAGTAGGATTGTCAAGGTGGATACATCCGAATGACGCCCGACTCCGACCGTGAGTTCGGGTTCCGGGCATTTGGGATAGTAGTTCAAGTTGATTCTCTTGGAGCCCATCAAGATGGATTCTTTAGCTTCGTCGATTTCGTTGACGTTAAGTCCTTTCATTAAAGCCTCCAGCAGCCTCCGAATCACAACTTCCGATTCCTTCATGAATTCAATTGCTTCATTCCTGAAAATGGATAGCAAATAATATTATGAAAAATTATACTCTTAGTGAAATAATATAGTGAGAAAATATAGTGACTGATTTATACCCCTACTCTGCTGTTGAAATTTTTTCTTTCCCCTCAAAATTATCCTTTTACCCTTAATTCCTATTGGCACATTAGTTACTATGTATTTTCACTATTTTTTCTCATTATCTCTATCATTGCTCATCAATTATATTTTCACTACTATTATTGATGGCGCAATAAAAAAACATGTTACATGTGACATGACTTTTAGATGTTGCGTAATTAGATTGATTCGCGTTTATATTCTCATTAAATTATGATCGTGACGATTAAGAAAAAATACGTATCAAATTTGATTCCCATTATCGTACGAGATTTTACCATTCAATTAAAAAAAAATTAATTGTGTAAAATTCATCAGATCAATAAAATACCTGCAGGCAGAAGGCCAAAGGGCAGCAGCTTCATCATCAGAAACATAAAAGAGACTAAGGAAATCTTTCCACTCCAAAGCCTTCTCAGCTTTAGGAGTGAAACTAGTTCCATATCTCACGTTGTTACTCGGCGAATTATCTTTGGAGTGCTTATTTTTCTCCTCGGCCGGTTGCCCGAAAAACCGGCGAGTCGCCTCCTTGACACGTTCAAGAACTTGCATTGGTACGCCATGGTTGACTATTTGGAAGAAACCCCATTTTTCAGCTGCATTGCAAATGGCATTCATCACTTTCTGGTCCGGCCAGTTTGACAAGTCAATGACGGGGATCGCATCGTCGTCAACGACGGTACTGTTTGTGATTTGTTCTTCGGGAGGTTGAATATATTGGTTGGGCAAAGTCTTAAGTCCTAAGTCGGCGAGACCCTTGACGCCGTGACCCTGATCAACGGCAAAGTTGATCACGTCCCATGAATCGGAAGCAGTGGACAATGATGGAGCCATTGTTTTAAGGAAGTTTTTGGAGATGTTAAGGTAATGGAAAAAGGATATTCAAGTAGAAGATGCAGTTGAGTAATGAGTAGGAAAATGTGCTCAAATGGCTTGGTTGGCTTAGCAGTGAAAAATGCAATGGCATTGTAGGCTATTTATAGTTGAGATTTCACTGCTTTTACTTTTTGTCCAAGCTTTTGTCCATAATTAATTAGTAGAATCACGCATTCAAATGACCTTTTGAAAACTCAGCTCTCACGTATTAAAATTAACGTTTACCAACCTATCAAATGTTCTTAATCATATATTAAAAAAAGACTAAAATGAAACACGATGCATTTAGTTAGGGCAAAAACCAATGTCATTTGACCTTTTTTTTCACATTCAGTGAATAAAGAAAAAGTAGAGCAAGAAATAAACTCACCTACCACCAATCGGATTAAATTTTTATCAACGAATTTATAACAAAACTAAAAGAATTAGTCATTGTTATTGACGATTTTATTATTCTCACTCACACACAAAAAAGGAGTTAATTCAGGCCAGCTAGTGCCGCTGGTCAGTCATTGCCTAAAACAGGAAAAGAAAATCGTCCGTAATTGACTAATCCAATACTAGTGGGAGTTTGAGCATCCAAGCAAATTATTCTTATCTTTGAATATTACTCCCTCCTCCCTCCGTCCCACAAAAATGATCTAGTTTGAAAATATACAACCTTTTTAATTAAGTCAACTCAATGAAGGTACAAGTCATTTTTGACCTCATATTTCCAATTGTACCCCTAATCCAATTCGTTAATAGTTCAGTGTTCTACGACCACAGTTGATCAATCACTGCAACGGGGGGTGAATTTCTCGTCGGCGGCTAAGGTGTCAAACAACATCGTCGGAACTCTGTGGACTGATTTATGGGATTGAGAATTAGGAGATTGAAGGAGTCGTCGAGTCCAAGAGAGGAAGGAATTGTCGCCGCCATTGAAGCTATGTTTGCAAAGCAATTTTGCCGGCGAGAGACAGAGAACGGGATTCTCGCCGGCGGCTTAGGTGGCAAGGAATGTGGCAGGAGAACGAAGTATGAGAACGAAGGAGCTGCCGAGTCATAGAGAGGGAGGAATTCTTTCTGCCCTTGAGGGTAAGTTGACAAGGTAATTTGACCGGTGAGAGGGGGAGAAAGGAATTTTCGCCGGCGGCTGCAAGGAATGTTGCCGGAGAATTGAATATCAATTGAGGAGGCGTGTGTGGTTTTGGGTTTGTAAACTAGAAGCGGCTGGTTTTTGTGGGGTAATAGTAAAATTTGTTTTGTTGCAAGGGTAAATCCGTATTTTTGTTTAAATTTTATTTTGACTTTTTAAAACTGAACTATTTTTTTGGGATAACATTTTTTTATGAAGGTAAACTATTTTTTTCGGACGGAGAGAGTATAATGGAAGTGGGATAACTAAGGGAAATTTTCTACTTCTCTGATGCATTTTGGATACGCAATATTCAATTGAAATTTCTTAACTGATTGAATTTAGAGAGAAAAGAAAGAAAATCGGATGACGTTGTAAAATAGGGAAAAAGAACAAAAAAAAAAAAAAAAAACTTATCATTAGGTTGACGAGGATATACATGTACACATACTATAAATTTAGGGTACCGACATACGTAATACACAAATATTTGCGTGCGTAAATCTAATCAACAAACAGTAGTAGGTGGGGCACATAAAAAATTCAGATAATTTTGACTACGTATTTTGTTCTCGTCATCTTTATAGTTTGCTGCGGATCATCAAGGAATTATATATTGGTTATTTGAATGGAATTTCGATGATCACTGGGTGAAAACAAGCTGTTGGAGACTGTAAATGATTGATGAAATTGATGCGTGAAAAGTGAAAGGTAAGAAGTAAGAACAACTTTTTCAAAGTATGATAAATTTAATGTTCTTGTGACTATTTTGTTCCTAAGTGGATTCCTTTTCTATTAAAAAATATATAAAACATTAAAAAAACGTGTTATCATATAGTAATAAAAGTAAAAAAGGCACTTGATTTTGACCAAGGAACACTTAATCGAAGTGGTAACTAAAGGTATTCGACTAAGTATAATATGAACCGAGTTCGAATCCATATGTATGAATGAACATATATATATATATATATATATATATATATGTATATATGCAGAAATTTTTTAAAGTATTTATTGAAAAAGTTTAATTTATCAAAAACATTTATTCAATTTGATTGATTGAGATAGTGGTTCCGAATACCAAATCTGTCAAATATAAAGAAAAAAAGAGAGTAGAGAGACAATTAACTAAAGGGGTTGTGGTGGAATGATAAGAATTCCTCTACTCTTAACCATAGGTCGAGGGTTTGAACCTCGCTATGAATATGGAGTAAACTTTAATTCTTTGGCCAGCTCTTCCTTCCACCTATCAAGGTGCTTATCATGAGTGAGAGGGATTAGTCACTGTTACCGATGGTGAACACCTTACAATATAAAAAAAAAAAAAAAAGAAAAGTAGAGAGGCGATTTGAGAAAAACATACAAACAAAAACCAGTAAGTACTACACCTTAGCCTTTGTGTAATAGTTAAACCTCTTAAGAATTTTGTCAATTCTTATGAAATTGACATTAATTGTTTTGGTATGATCACAGAGAAGACTTTTAAGATAAATTTGTTTCCTGAAAAATTTAAGTTATGGCCAAATCTTTTTTTACCCATTAATTGTTAAATCATCCCAACGATATTTGAACTCTTGTGGTTATAACAACCTACCATCAGAAAGTCATTGTAGTATTAATTCAATTGATTTATACTTTTCAACTTTGTAGACTGATTAAAGTTAGTAGAAGTTCTACCGCTGGGGTCAAACCGTGAGTAGAGCATAATATTATAAGAGTTGTTTATTCCCAAAAAGTACTTATCCAGGCATTAAGCTTTTGGTTCTTTCATTGTGCTGAAAAAAAAAGTCAGTAGAGATGAAATCCGAAATTTACATTATTCAGTATATTCCGAAGTCTAGTATAATAACATTGGTACTTAAAATTAATGTACATGTACTGCTTAAAAAAAGTAAAAAACAACCTACCATCGTTGTTACGGAGTTATATTTCAGTGCATCTTTTCTCCGGGTATATCTAGGACCAGTCAAAAGAAGACAGTAAACCGAGCAAGCTTGCCTGGCTGCCAATAAACCCAAAAACTCGTGTAGCAGTTAATATAATATTTTGTTCTTGTCTGCCAGGAAAACATGCATTTGAAACGAATTTTCGTGGCAGCTGATCAGTAAGCCCACGGTTGATGATCCCCATCATTCACCAAAGTAAACATTTCAATTTTTTTTGATAATTAATACACGATCAATGACAATGACTAATATGTACTAAAAATCGTGGGAATTTTAAACTGATTCATGCGGATTTGACATTTCGAAGTCTTCATCTCCGTTTATTGGTATGATAGCATTTCACCTTTCAACTCCTTGTTTTTTTAATGAAGAGAAGAAAGTCACGCACTCAACCTATAATTAATTAATTAAGCTTTAGTTTATATGTTTTGATCCCAAATAATTGATATTATTTAAAAGAAAAATTGAGAGATCTTAACTATTAAAGTAAACGAGTACATTTCGAGGATGGAGTTGGATTCTTCGTGTTGTGGTGGGTGACAGATTATTTTAGAGACGAAGTTTTGCCTTTCCAAAAGAAGATGAATTTTCTGACTTTATACCTATTTGCTTACGTATTTTATATTTTTGGCACTGTTAGATTAAGATAACGTTTGATACTAAAATCGATCCATTTACGTAGTGATTTTTGAATGATAGTAGGTGAAGTTTGAATTTTGGAAACATTTTTTATTATTAAATGAAAAATGCAAAGCATAAAATTATTGTAGTTCATGGCTATAATTTTTTTCAATAGGGAAGAAGGAGTTGAATGGTTATGACGTTTCTAAAAGATAAATAAATTTTCATTCTTTCTAAATTGAGGATCAATTATCTTGGACATCAATGGCAGCTTCCAAGATTACTCTAAACTTAATTAGCTAATTTGGTTAATTGTAGATTTATGGACTTAATGTTTATGCACGCTAGTTCAATTTGCAAAATGTAAAAGCAAGTTCAAGAAATAGAAAATGTGCCCTCGCCCACGTATTTGTATTATTATAGAGGAGGAAACCTAAAAGTTCATATTACGAGAATATGATATTCATACAACGTCATATCAAAATCGCGGATAAATGTCTAATAACAGATTATAACAAATACAAACCAACTTCACAAGAATCTACATACGAAGGCTTGAAAATCTATCACAAAATTAGCATCTCTATATATGTGATTCAACAATACTTGCCAATCACAAAAGCCACCAAATCTCGTATACCCTTTACTACTCATAAATATACTCATACTACTTTCTCAACTAGTAACTTTTAATTTCAACGCTCAAACTGTATACTTCAGTTTCGACGCTCTGTAAACCCTTATTCCAAACTAACTGCAAATCGGAAAAATATCCATAACTCGGCTCTAATAATATAGAACATACCCAAGTATTTCTTGGGTGTTGGGAGTTTTGTCAAAAATAAATGTAGATACTTTTAATTTATTAGGGGAAAAAATAGATCATCTCATTCTCATTATCATTAAAATTTAATGGTCAACAATACATTCTGGCTTTGTCATCAGCGCTCCGGATACATGTTTAAAGTCAACTAAATACAGACGTTATCAACAACACACTAAACGTACCACTCCAAAATGTGGAATTTGCCATATCTATAGGTCAATTGATCTTTCATGGAAGCCCTTAATCCTCATACACAATGTAGTTCACTATAGACTTTTTATTCCGATGAAGGAGATGATTAAATCTTTTTTCTTCATACAATAGACTCCCACTTTAATCTTTTCTTCATACAAATAAGTCCCATTTTAGGTGAAAGTCTAAACGTTTTGAGAAAATACAAAAAATTGTGATGTTAGTATAACTAAATTAGTATTTCTACATTAACTAAGTTGGTAATTAGCACTTTGGTTAAAGTAAAATTGGTTAATCAAACACACATGCATGAATTGAAAAAAGTGATTTTGATGAACACACTAGCTAGGTACAAGTAAAACAAAATGTTTGATAAAATCATTACGATAATACCCTATAGATCCTTAAACCTCTTCAACCATCATCATTCAGTGAATGTGGAAAGTTTTCGACGAGTTTAAGAACTAATGAATAACTTTCAATCAAACAATGAAAGAGTGAAAACTGACCAGAATTTGTGCACGTTTTTCTATCTTTCTTACCCAAATCCAAAAGGAAGGTGCAAAAAAGAAAAATGTCAGAAAATTGACAGGAAGCGGTGAGTCAAATGTGGACAACGGTTAGCCACAGCCATTGCCAACTCTGTCTCACCTACCACCACTATTACACCAAAAACCATAATCAAACACCGACGATCCATTATAACATTCAAGTATTCATCATTTCCGAATCCATACAGAATCACTTCCAAAATCCTAATTGGAAGATTAACACAATTAATCCTCATCCATGGAAAAAATGCAAGTTAAAATCCAAGAAACCGCCGTAATTTACCCTTCCTCAGCCCCTTTCACGGACGATCATGTCCTCCAACTTTCCCACCTCGACACCGATCGCAACCTCCAAGTCACCTTCCGTTACCTCCGAGTCTATCTAAACTCCGATGACCACGAAAACAAACCCAATTCCACCCCGTTCCAGGTCATCACTTCTGCCCTTTCCGCCGCCCTTGTACGGTACTACTACTTCGCCGGTAGTCTCCGTCGCCGATCATCCTCCGACGATAACCGTCTGGAGCTCTACTGTGAAGCGGGTAAAGGGGTGCCGGTCATTCGGGCTGAAGTTGATTTCCCCTTGAGCTCTGTTAATTACCTCGACGATGACCCGGATGAGGAGTTCGTCGAAGGGCTGGTTCCTGACCCGACCCTTGACGAAGTGATGGCCCACCCGATGACCTTACAGCTCACGATGTTTAGTTGTGGTGGGTTTGTTCTCGGGGCGGCGCTCCATCATTCTCTGTGCGACGGGCTCGGGGCGACCCTGTTCTTCAATGCCATGGCGGAGCTTGCCCGGGGAGCCAACCAGATTCCGGTGGAACCCGTTTGGGATAGGATGAAATTGCTCGGGACGAGGAACCCACCTCGTATTGAGTTCCCGATTCAGGAATTTCTAAGCCTTGATCGGGATTTCCCGCCTTACTCGGAGAAAACAGGGCGGGTTGTGAGAGTATTTTTTCCGGTGAAGGATGACTGGTTGGACCGGCTGAAGGGTATTCTGTTTGATCAGTCCAGCCTGAAATTTACTGCCTTTGAAGCTCTGGGTGCTTTTATTTGGCGGGCACGGTAAGTTGAAATTAGTCTGATTTCGAATTTTGAATTTGTAGAATGAATTGAGCTGTTTATATTTGGTATGATATTCAAAATCGATTACGAAATTGCAGGGTAAAGGCTTCCAAGATTCCCAGCAATGAGACTGTAAAGTTTGCTTATTCAATCAACGTTAGAAAGATTGTAAAGCCTCCATTGCCAGCTGGATACTGGGGAAACGGCTGTGTTCCGATGTATGTCGTCGCGACGGCCGGAGATGTTGTGGAGCAACCGATCTGGAAAACAGCAGAGCTAATCAAGAAGAGCAAGTACAACGTCTCCGATGAATATGTTCGATCGTTTATCGATTTCCAGGAGCTGAATTACGACAAAGGGATTACGGCAGGAACTAATATTAGTGGATTTACTGACTGGAGGCACTTGGGACATTCGACGGTGGATTTCGGGTGGGGTGGTCCGGTGACGGTTTTCCCACTTTCCCGGAATCTGCTCGGAAGCGTTGAACCTTGTTTCTTCCTGCCGTATTCATCGGTTAATCAAGGTCCAAAAGATGGGTTTAAGTTATCTGTGTATTTGCAAGAACATGCTGTGGGAGGATTCAAAGAAGAAATGAATAGATTGAAATTTTTGGAACGGGCCTGCCTTTGATTCCACAAACGGGGTTATGGGAATTAGTGTGGAAGTGGTTTCATGACAACTTTGCATAATAAACCCAAGACAGAGTGGTTTGGTAGTTACTATTATTGGTGTATAATTTGTACGATTTTTTACGTTTTGCCGCTCAGAAATGAAATTGATAGTACTTCATTGAAGTTTCACAAAATTTTAGATTTGTAGTTTTTTTTTCTTTTTTTTTTTATTAGTTGGAATCAGTGTTGTCAAGCTCGGCTCGGACCGGTCGGTTGAACCGGTTAAACGGGGAATCGGACCTCAAACCGAGCTAAGCAGCATATAAAATCGTCAAAAAGTAAATCAGTCAAAACCGATCAAAAAACTCGTCGAACCGTGAATTGGCCGAAACCGAGTCGAACTGAAGTTTTAAGTTTTTTTGACCGAAATTTTCACAATTTCCCACGGATTCTATTTCCTCCAAGACCAGATTTTTCTGTTTTGTTCAAAATAGCCCCACAACTTTTAGTATTTATTTTGTTTAAAGTTTTAATTTGATATTTTAGTCCACATTTTTTATTTCAACTTCTTAACTCACTAATTTGAATTGTCTTTTATTATTATTATTTTTAATTTCTCTACACAACCTACCAACTTCCATCATTTTAAGAAAAATTCATATAATAACTCTAATATGTCACAAAAAATAATCCCAGACCACTTTTTTCTTAATGTTATATTAATTATCCTTCAAATTCAATAAATTTTTCTAAATAATAATTTATTGATCCTAATTACTTTATTAATACACAAATTTACTTCACAAAAATAATAAGTAATCGTTAAAAAATATCAATGTCAACTATTACAATTAAAAAGAGATTTAAATTTTAATTTTTTTAAAAACTTTTAGAGAATTAAATACCTAAATTTTTTTATTTAGTATAATAACATGATCCTGGTTGACCTCCTTCGTTCCATTTGGTCATATCAACACCCATTTGAAAATTATGAACTATTAATGTGACTCTAACAATTGATAAATATATGTAAAATTCATAAAATTATAATTAAAAAATAATTATTAATTAATTAATATTTATTGCATCATTATGACGTCATCCGAATCGACTCCCGAGTCGGTCGACCCCTGGCCATTGCCGAGTCGACCTCTGGTCCGAGTCTGATAACACTGGTTGGAATAAGCGTTTAGCTATGGTACTATTACATTTCTGGGGAAGGCTACTCCCATAATATCATTAGCTAACCAAGGTCGAACCTCCGGTGGTGGTGAATCCAGTCGCGTGAGACCACCAGGATTCGACGCTGCCAGAGTGGTTAAAGAGTCCGCTGTAAAATTAGCTTCCCGATAGACATGTTTCAACTTCACTTCCCACTACCTATCCATGATCTCCCATACTGCAGCCAATAGGCCCCCATGAACTCCATTGGGTTTTAGTTCCTTCAAAACCATGCCAACTACATATTGGTTGTCAACTTCCACCTCCACCTTTCTCGCTCCACTATCCCACGCCGAACTTAGCGTCTGGAATAACCCTAGAGGACCGCTCCTGGAACTGAGCAGAACCCAATGTTCATCTTGAATCCTCCACACCATTTACCACCAGAGTCACGCATCAATCCTCCCGCTGTCGCCAACCCAGTAGAGGTATTGAGACTTCCATTCGTGTTGACTTTCATCCAGTCCGGCAGAGGAGGAGACCAAGTGATTAGGTGCTCTTCCCTTCGAGCCTTGACTGGTCCCAACATTTTTAAGCTTTTGTTGGCATCAATTATTTGTTTAACATGTCTCCTAATTGTCCACTCCTTGCTACCATCAGTAAGGTTGTCTGTATCGAAAATGAATTTATTTCTCCAGCTCCAAATCATCCTTGCTGTGATTCCAAAGAGAACGGGCCATTTATCATCCCCTCCCACGATTTGATTCCTCAAATTGTCCCTAACCCAATCCTTTAGTTCGCCAAAAAAGAAAGTTTGATGTTTTTGAGCAGGAACTAACCTTCTCCAAATCTACGCCGAGGCTGGGCACTCACGGATCACGTGAATGGTTGTCTCCTCCGCTGCTCCACACCGGTGACATGAAACATCTATGGTGATGTGGCGTCTTCCTCTTTCCATGCTTGTCAGCAGGCAGTTCTTCACCAGAAGCGACAAAAAGCTCTGAATCCTTTGGGGACTATTCCACCTCCAAGCAGCACTCCAGATTGGATCCCTAAGGTGTTCTGGCCATTTTAGGTGGAGAAGTATGTAGACATGACTATAAAGTGTCCGTTGCTGGATAATCCCTAGAACCATTTACCTTCACCCCTGTTCGACACTGACCGTGGAATAGCAGCAATTCGTAAGATAATTGTAGCTGGCAAAATATGTTGGAATAAGGACTAGTCTCAAAGACAATTTTCATGTACATATTGGCTCACCGTCAAAATCGAACTGGTCTGGAGGGATGTCAAAATGTGGTTTAGGGGGAGAGCTCACAATCCACTTGTCAGTCCAGAACCTCACTCGTCTCCCATCATTTATAACCCATTGTAGCCCAACAACAACATCAATCCAATGTTTTTTCACAGCCTTATAGCATGGGGAACTTTTGGATTTCATAAGGAAAGGTTGCTCCTTTTCAAAGTCCAGCCCATATTTGGCGTAGAAGACCCTCACCCACTGTGGGCTTTTGTCTACCACCAGTTGCCAACTGAGCTTCACCGGAAAAGACTTATTCATATCTCTTTGCAATTTGAAACCTAATCCAACCTTTTCTTCCAACTGAAAGACTTCATTCCATGCCACCAAACTAAGCTTCCTATTTTGACCAGTCTCACTCCAAATAAATTTTCAACAAATCTTTTCTAATTCATCAACATCGGGAGCGTTGTTGGTTGCATAGCATAATTGGGGGGAGAGTAGAGCACCGATTGTGTGAGGGTAACTCTTCCTGCTAGGGACAGAGATGCTACTGCCCAACCACACAACTTTCTCCTAGCATTTTCTAAAATTATACCATATGTATTCTTGGTTATGCTTCCATGTATCAAAGGCATTCCCAGGTACACTCCCAACTCCTCCACTCGCTCAAACCCCATGCACTGAGCTAGTCGATTACCGCTCTCAACAGTGACCGTCTTAGAGAAGAATACCTTTTATTTTGACCCACTAATTCTCAGGCCTGATGCATCGCAAAACTCATCAAGGATCTTGCGTACTAATCCCGCCTGATCGTCATCTGCTTCTAAAAAGAAGAAACTATCATCTGCAAAAATCAAATATGAGACCTTGACCTCTTCGGCTCCAAACTTAACCGATTTCAAGTCGCCCCTATCTACACTTTTTAATACTGCATGAGCCAATCTTTCAATGCAAAGGACGAAGATGTATAGGGAAATTGGATCCCCTTGGCTAATTTCCCTCGTCGATTTGAACGATTCCGATGTTTCTCCATTCCATTACACTTGCATTGTTGCCGAAGAAACACAATTCATTACAGCAGTCCTAAGCATTTGGGGGATCCCTGCCTGTTGAAAAGAATCATCAATGCACTCCCATCGCAGCATGTCATACACTTTCTCTAGATCAATCTTAATAGCCATATGAACTATTCTTCCCGAGGTTGTTCACGTTGAATGGACTACCTCCTAAGCTATTATGATATTCTCTGAGATGTGTCTTCCTGGTTCAAAGCTTGTTTGGGCTGCCCCTATTAATCCCGTTTACATTGGCTTTATCCTTTGTTTGATGACTTTTGTTACCATCTTATAAATCACATTATAAAGACTAATGGGTCTAAAAAATTTGAGTGATTCAAGATTCTCCACTTTAGGAATCAGCACTATGAGGGTTCTATTCAACTCCCTCGGTATCTACTTTCCCTCAATAATGTTCTTCACAGACCTACGAACATTTGGAGCCACAATATATCTCAATTTTGTTGAAATCGGTAGCTGCTTTCCCTCAATAATATTCTTCACAGACCTGCGAACATTTGGAGCCACTATATCCCAATTTTGTTGAAAAAAGATGGCATGGAGACCATCCAATCTTGGAGCCATTAGAGGGGCCATCTTTTTCAGAGTGTTCCAATTTTCTGCGTCACATATCAATCTGCTCATTACATCAATCTGCCTTGGAAAAAGTTGTGGGAAGCAGTCCTTGAAGGCGTACACCACTGGCTAATCAATACCTGCTGTATACAGATTAGTAAAGTAGATTGATGCCATCCGATTCAAGTCCCCTTGGTCCTCAACCAGGTTCTCATCTTCATTTCTCAATGCTAGTATATGGTTCCTCCTCCGCCTTGTCTTAGCATAATTATGGTTGAATTTCGTGTTCTGATCCCCGTCAGAACACCACTGCCGCTTAGATTTCTGTACCTGAAAGACCTCCTCCTGAAGTAGGATTCAGTCTAGTTCCTCCCTGATCTTCTTCTCTAACTCTTCCCATTTATCCATGCCATATTTGTCCCTAGCTTTTTGTATCCCTTCCAACCTTGCAAGAGCCCTCCGTTTATTCTTGAAAGTATTCCCAAAAACATTAGAGTTCCATGATTGAGCTTCTGCAGCAAAGACAACAGCGGCATGCTTGAAACTGAGTTGAGAGCACCAATTTCTGCATACCATACTCTGAAAATCATCATGCAGCAGCCATGGAGTCAAAAATTAAAATGCTTTTCTCCTTGGTCTCTCCCCCATTACATTCCTAAAACGTACCAACAAAGGGTTGTGATCTGATTGATACTTCGACAGAAGAATAACAATTTCAACATAGAATCTTGGTGGATGAAGAAACTGTCATTGAGTTCACCCCAAGAGAATATTTATAAAACCTAAAAATTATTAACTAGTGGTAAGCAGGATCGTTCCACAGAGATGACAGTCAACCACTCAAAATCTGATTAAAGTACAAGGAAAAGGAAAGTGAATGAGCTGAACAGATTTTTCACTTGGGAGAGTGAGAATAGTCACTTGACAGAGTGAAGAGGCAGAAGGGTCAATCACCTTCCTACCTTTATGATCCAGTTTTCATTCAAGTAATTCTGTAGTGTATGATTTATTGTTTGATCAGGCACATATATTCTTTATAATTCCTCTCAAACAGAATAAAGAGTCCTAGATTATCTAATTACCTACCTCTCAGTCAGTGTAATCATTAATCTAAGCCATTTAGTTCAAAATCCCTCTTCGATCACCTATGCCGATCACCTAACTCTCGTTGATAATTGAAACCAAAGGGTAGATTTCCTCCCTTGTCATAGACTAGATTAATTCGTTCTAAAGTTATGCTTCCCTTGTCAAATCTTCATAACTATACATGCACATT